TAATCCCTATTATGTTTTTCCATCATTAAACTCACATTGTGTGTTAAAGCAAGAATTGCATTACGTTTCATCTTTTTAAGTGAAGAGGTCAATAGAGAATTTTTAGGTGAATTTCATTTTAGTGGGATGGACAATGAGACCCCTTATTCTTTTCCCTTCATTGAGTATATTGATGTCATTTGTAGTTGAAGATCTCAGTTTGTGTAATGGAAAACTGAACAATATCAACTCCTGGATTCAGGATTTCTGGTATGCTTGCTCTGCAACCTTGGTTTGGAACAGTCCTTATCTGCAACCTTGGTTTTGTAAACATTTTCAGGGATAGGATGAAAGTGGCTTTGAAATTTAAACATACGATGAGATGGTGGAGACATTTCTTGTCCATTATTTATTTAATGTTTAGTAGTACAAAGACTTTGGAAGTTTCAAGTTGGGAAAAAAACAAAGTTGTTTATTTTGCTATACTGAAACTATAGAACGCAGGTGCTACATCATGTATATAGTGTAGGAGCCACCCATAGAATACCAAGTGCCATGTATTCCAAGTTTGCTTGTCTGGTCATGACGAGGATGTAAGGAATTAATATGGAATTTGAGGCCCTTTGTCGCATATCATTTGGAAAATGAAGGTATAATACGTGAATATTGGATGCTAAAGGATGTGTGAACAGTAATTGCCCTAGCCTATTGAGAACTTAATGCCAAGGTTCTTGTATGGGTCTTGAGGTGCACAACATATCATGAGCTCACAGGTCCAAGATGTTGTAACTGTATATTACTACTATACCAGGAAATCTTTTTTTTGTTTTGCATGGTTGTCCAGAGGTTCCTTCACTGGAATAATATAGTGCAACTTCTATTTTGTTCTTTTCATTGCATTTTCGAGTGTCTATGAATGGAGCAAATTTGATGGTCTCTGATAGTCTTTTTTCATTCTTTTACTCAATGTTACTTGGATATGTGCTGGAAAGACTGAACAGGTCTCTGATGGTCTGCCTAGACAAATTTGAGTCGGCCAAAGTCCAGCAGAACCGAAGTGATGCCATGAAGGATTTGGAGTCGTGTGTTGACCAGTCTGTTCAAGACAACATCAAGACGTTTCCACTTCTTGTTGGAAGATTGAAAACATCTCTATTCATCAAAGATTGAAACCTAGGTTATTACCATGGATTGCAAGAAATCACCCATTGTCTTTTTTTATCTTTGTTAATCATTATGGAGGCGTCTATTTATCTGCAACCACTCCGAAGCTTTAATGAGATGAAGAGCCATACTAGTTCTCAGTTTCAAATGACGATTTTTGAGCAATAATCGAGTTTTTTATGAAAATCCAGCAGAACGGATTCTTGAAATATGCAATGCACATTTGAGAAAGATATATTGATAATATTTGGGATTCAGAAAGAGTACTCGAGTCAAGAACGAAGGAGCGCTGATTGTTTCTCAGTCGAGCAACTCTTTTTTCTCATTACATTGATATGTTTGCACAGGGCATACAATTAAGCCTTCGGTGCAATGTTGCTCGGGATTCATTCCTTTGTTTCTGCCCTTCACTTACCAAATTGCTACCTGAAGTTCGTTGGTACCACCAACGGATCTCATGGTATAGAAATACAAGCCAAAGACGAAAGCTGTCAAGCCTCCAGCAACCATATTCTTAGTCTTGCGTGCAAGGGCAGCACGGTACCTCTGAATAAAGAATCAAACAACCTTTGTTATGCCTCGGCAACTTGTTATTCTCAAAAAAGTCGAGGACCAAACTGCAACAAGCCAAGGTTAAGAGGAACATTATAAAAAAGTAATTACATTTACCCCGCAGTTTTTGTTAGGTGTATCACATTTTAATTATAAAGATTGTTTCAACTTTCGCTAATTTTCGCACTTATGTCCCAATTTTTGTGTCATTCTTATTGTCTAACTTTTATTAATTTGCACATCTTATTTGTGATGATATTTTCATCCAAAATATTCGTTACGAGTAAAAAAAACTTTGCCCCTACTTTGTACATATTCTTTAAAACCAACTTTTTTCTCAAACTAATTTTCAATCACACAATCATTCAATAAAATAATTTTGCACGCAGATCATGACTTTTTAACCATACATACATGTTCTAATTAATTGAAGGTTAGGAATAATAAGGTGACAAAAAAATTGAGATCACAAGTGCAAAACTAATCAAAAATTGGCAAACTTCGTTGCAATTAAGCCCTTGTTTGATCCTTATTATTTTCAAAATACATTTTTCTCTCTTAGTTTCAATCACACATTATTCAAAAAATAATATTACACACAAACTCAAATTTTGTCCCTATTTTTTAGTGAAAATTACACCAAATCTTACTTTTGGAGATCTGAATTCTTAAATCAGGTGGGATGTTTTATCTTTCAAAAATCAGAAGTTTTATTTTAATTAACATCTTTATAAAATAATTAATTTACTAACCCTAACCCACAGCAACCGGCCTTCTTCTTCTTCTCTCTCTCTCTCTCTCTACATTTCTCCCCCCAAGTCCCAACCCTGTCGGCTTCCCCTCTCTCTTCTCTCTAACCGGCAACCTCCACAAGTGGTGCACAGATCGCTGACGATTACCAACCCGCCGCCTTCCTCTTTCTCTCTCTCTCTACATTTCTCCCCCAAACTCGTTCCCTCTCTCTGCCCCCTTCTCTCTCTCATTGTCGTCGACCCCACCACAGCCACAATCTGAAGTGGCGATTGTGGTTTGTGTTTCCTTTTCTGTTTGTGGTTTTCAAATCGCGAGGTGGTGGCGGTGTGGTGCCGAATTTTTGGTTTTTGTTTTCAATTGTGGTTTTCAGATCGTGAGGTGGTGGCAATGTGGTGGCAAAGTGGTCCTGGATTTTTTGTTTTGTTTCCATTTGTGGTGGTTGTTTTGGCGGTGCCGGCTTTTTGGGTTTTATCTTTTGTTTATGTTTGTGTGTTTTAGATTGGAGACAGTGATGTTGGTATGACGATAAGGAGGCGGTTGGGTGGTGGTGGTGGTTGTGAAGTTGGCTGCAGGTAGTGGTAGTTGCTGGTTGGTGGTTTTTGTGCGACGACGATTCTGTGGTTGTAACCGTGGTGGTGGATCGACGGGATCTGGTGGTTTTTGGTGGTGGTTTTGGAAATGGAGATGTTACTACTGATTGCCGTGGTGATGTTGGTCGGGGAGGTGGTAGTAGTGGTAGTGGTCGTGGCGATAGTGCATAGATGGTGGTGGTGGATCTGGTCATTTTGGTTTTCCATGACTAAAAATATAATCTGTGATCTTAAAATTCTATAACTTGTGACTAAAAATATAATCCGTGACCAACCATTTCGTTATCTGTTACCGTGAAAAAATGTGGCCAAATAATTTGGAAATTTGTGTTCGTGTGATTTTCTGTGACTAAAAATATAATCTGTGACCTTAAAATTCGATAATCTATGACTAAAAATATAATCCGTTATCAACAATTTTGTTATTTGTAACCTAAAAATTATATAATATGTGACCGTGAAAAAACCTGTAACCCACTAATTTGGAAGTCTGTGATCGTG